TGGAGCAAAAACAAATTCATTATTTACACCTCCAATAACACCAGGTTGAACATCAGCAATTGACATGTCAAAATCACGAATATCAGCAACATTACATTTCAATTCTTCAGCAATAGCTTTCAATAAAACAGAGTGATGGTTAGCAATAAATCCCTTAGTATTTGGATCATCACTCAATTCTCCCAATTCAGTACCAATAATTGGAAGTAACTATTGAATTTAGTTTACAAAATGTCAAACTACTTACATGGAGTTCAGTATTAGGTTTGAAACCATCAGTTGAAACTTCTCTTTGTAAGTGAATAGCTAAAGAAGGAATACGAAGAATTGGTCTCTTAACTTCGACAAGATGTTGCTTGAATTTTCCTTGTCCATCAGAAAGAATAACTCTACCAGCAACTGTCAAATCTCTATCGAACCAAGTATACCACAAACCTCCACCATACTATTTAATAATATTTCTTCCATTTCCGAAATATAAAATCATCACTTACAGTTTGTACACCAACTTGAAGATAACCAGAACTCTTTTGTGATGAAATTGGTTTAATGACAAGATGAGGACTGTCAGTGTGGGCTCCAATAATTTTCAATCCTGATGTTCCAGCAGCAAATTTTCCACCAACAGCAAATGCAACAATTGTTGAGTGATTTCTGGTGAAGAAATACTTTCCACAAGGCTTAATTTTTTGCTCCCAATTTGCTTCTCTTTCAAAGAGTTGTTCATATCCACTATCTAACAATCTTTTTTTAATTGATCCGACGGCATGATAAGGTGATTTGGATTCATTGATAAAATCAACCATCTTTTGAGTGATCGGTTGAGCATTTGAAAGTTCTTCGAGTGATGGAGCCATTTTTTATTAATAATTGAAAATTTAATATATAAAAATCAGGAGTTCTTTTTAGTAAGAGAAATTAGAAAAGAAACATAAAAGAAACATTAGACTTCCGGAAAAGTCAAAAAGAAATAAAAAGGCGCCTTTTTAAAAAAGTGGTTTGAAAAATGTTTGAGCAATTTTTGAAATTTGTTTGAGCATAATTCAAGAAATGTTTAAACCTTTCCTGCATATTTATTGAAGCTTTCTTTTTCCTGATGTCAACCTTTTCTTTACTGCATTTGCTGAACGGAAGATGTTGAGGAAGTGGAAGAAAATCTTAATGAAACACCATATTCTGAATTAAGCATGAAACAGGAACAAGAAAAAAGTGTGAAACAAGAAAAAATCCAGAAGAGGAAGAGATCTGATTTGAACATCACTCCACCCAGAAAGAGAAAAAACCTGAACCTTATCAAAAAGAAAACAATCATCATGCCAAGAAAAGTTGAGGAGCCCAAAAGACCAGAGCTTTCGAAAGATTTCGTGATTGATGTAAAAAAATCCATCAAAACTACAGTGACCCGAGATGGTGACATTCAAAAACCTTGGATCTCTTAAGGAATTGGTGGATTTTTTGGAAAAGGATATAGTTAAGAAAGAGAGTGAGTTCAGAAGTTTGAGGGCCCTTGGGGTTTTTTCAGCAAATACTTGAACGTTTTGAGAATCTGGTTGAGAAGTAATTAATCATTCTTGAGGAATTGTTTGAAAACAGTTTGAAAGTTGCTCAAGATTTTCTTGAACAAACTTTGGATGTGTTTCAAGTAGTTTTTAGGTAAAAAAGGCACCTTTTAGGCACCTTTTAGGCGCCTTTTTGCAAATTAGCGTGAAAGTACCTTAAAAAAGTCGACTTTTAGCAAAACTTTTTCCGGAAGTCTAATGGTCAATATCTTTTCATCAATTTATTGAATAATACAGCAATTAGTCTTAATTAGATTAATTTCTAGGATTAATAAACAATATAGGTGCTCTTGAATAATATTCATCAATTTCCATCACTTTTGATTTCATTACAAATTATTTACACAATGATAATCCTATTCACAAATTGTCAAGTAGCACACCGGAAAGTGAAACTCCTCATCTCCCACCTGTGGAAGAATTACAAGAAAAAAATGCAACAACATTCTTCCGTGCGGTTTGGTTGTTTTATCGCAACAGTGTTGGCACTTATTGCC